AAAAAAAAAAAAAAAAACCCTTCTAAAAGAGCCCTGTATCTCCTCCTCTCCCCTCAGCAGTACCTGTATATCAGTCAATATCTATAGGTTAAATTTTGATTTTATAAAATGTATAACACCAGGAAACTCAGTGATAGGTTTTTGAGATTCATGGCTTTGGTGAAATAAAGTGTCAGAGACAGTTTCTGGAGATAAAGCAGGTGGTACTGAGAGGCTGACCCAGTCGAGGGTAATGAAGGATATAGATTCCTTTCTCTCGTGTCTTCATTTGTCTCTTTCATCATTTTGTGTAAGGGAACAGACCATTTTATTATGACAGATTATTTGCATTCTTGTACCCTGATAATTAGAAGCACTAGGAAAACTCAGAATCACCTAGGGAAGTAGCATGGAAATTATAGGTGGGCTCACAGCTTATCTTTCAGACAAAAAGCTTTTCAAAATCATTGGGCTTGGCTATGATAAAAAAAAAAAGATAATCAGTATTAGCAAAGATGCGAAGAAATTGGAACCTTTATACCTTGTTGGTGAGAATGTAAAATGGTATAGCTGTTTTGGAAAAAAGTTTAGCAGTTCCTCAAAAAGTTAAACATAGAGTTACCATATAAACCAACAGTTTCACTCCTAGGTATATGTCCAAGAAAAATGAGAATATACATCCTCACGAAAACTTGTACATAAATGTTCATAGCCACATTATTCAGAATAGCGCAAATGTGGAAACAACCCAAATAGTCATCAGCTAATGAATGGGTAAATAAAATGTGTTATATCTATACAATTAAATATTATTCAGCCCTAAAAAGGAACAGAGTATTGATACATGCTACAGCATATGAACTTTGAAAACATTATGCTAAGTGAAAGAAGCCAGATGCAAAAGATCACATATTGTGTGATTGTTGCATTTATATGAAATATTCAAAATGGTCAAATCCATAGAGATAGAAGGTAGACTTGTGGTTGCTGAGGGTCGGGGATAGGGGGAATGGAATGTGACTGCTAATGGGTATGGGGTTTCTTTTTAGGGTGATGAAAATGTTCTAAAATTGGTTGTAGTGAGATTTGCACAACTTTGTGAACATACTAAAAACCATTGACTTGTGCACTTTAGAAGGGTGAATTTTCAATTTAATTGTGAATTACAAGTTAATTTTCAGTTGAATTGTGAGTTATACTCAATTAAAGCATAATGGAAAACACACCCCCTCCCCAAAAAAATGCCATCTGAAAGACATAGAAAATCTCTTTGAATATTTGGGCTCTGTGTATCTAAAATAAGAGACTTCTCAGTCTTAAAACCTAATTTATTGAACATTGTCTAAGCGAAAATGTTCAAACTTCTTTCTGAAGTTTAATAGGGATAAACTGGGAGTAACTAGTGCTACAAACTGAAGTTGCATGAGTAAAAGTCAGACCTAGTAGCTGCTGTTTTCTGTTTTTCACCCAGAATGAAGATGACAACCGAGCCAACGAGAGCAAGAAACCCAAAATAGAAGATAAGAATTCGGCAGGCCACAAGCCATCCAGCAACAGAGAGTATGTCCCCAAACATGTTGCACACCAATGTTGTTACTATATGTATGACATTTGTGATTGGATGCTTTCTAACATGCCCTTGGAGTGTTCTTTTAGTAAGCATATACATGCACACATATACATACAACAAAATAGCGGGCACTTTTGCTTCTAGCACAGAGGGCTGGAAAGGATTTAAGACTCCGTCACTTCTTCTTGTCTTCTTTTTTTGGTGGGTTTAAGGGTGAAAACCCTACTGGGCAGTTCTGCTCTGTCCTGTAGGGTTACTATGAGTCAGAATTGATTGAATGGCAACGCGTTTGGTTTTTGGAAGGGTAAGTATGGAATAAGAAATAAGGTAAAGCTTTACAACTTTCTGAGTATATGGCAAGCTTGTCTATAACTAGCAGGAGACTAGTTGCTAACTTGTGAGCATTAATCTTTTCACTCATCATTCATCTGCTTGTTCATTGAACAAATGCTTACTGAGTATTTATTGTGTGGTAGGCCCTGTTTTAGGCACTGGGTATACAGCCATGAGGGGTGGTGGTAGGGGACAGACAAAATGCATACCTTCATGGAAGTTACAGTTTTATCTTTTTTACAGAAACCATGTGCCCTAGTAATCAAATAGGGGAAAAAATTAACTTGAAAGCAGGCAAAGACAAATGGAAAAATCCACCTCTCCTGTATTACTGTGTGGAGAAATGAGGGCATTTATTTGGTTTGGCAGGTCATCTAAGCAGAGTGCTACAAAAGAAAAGGATTTGTTGCCTTCTCCTGCTGGGCCTGTTCCTTCAAAAGATCCAAAAACAGAACACAGCTCTCGGAAGAGGACTATTAGTCAGTCTTCCTCCTTAAAGTCAAGCAATAATAGCAATAAGGAGAATAGTGGCAGCAGCAAAAATAGTTCCTCCACATCAAAGCAGAAGAAGACTGAAGGGAAAACTTCCAGTAGCTCCAAGGAGGTCAAGGTAAGGTATGGGGACCTGAGCCTTTTGAGAATCATTCTGAATGCCATGTGACTTCTCCAAGGTGGCACTCTGTGCTTTGAAATTTTTGCAAATATCTCATTAAATTTATAGGCCTGTGCATTTTACTCTCAAAATGTCCCTATCTTGATGATAAACTTATGCAGTGATCTGAGACCATTAAAGCAGTAAGTCAGCTGGCCACATGTATGTTAAGATAGAAGCCCATAATTAGGAAAATTTGTTATGAAAGTTTTTGTAGTAAGATCTTGATCTAATTTTAAATGGCTCTGTTTGCTAAGATTGAATTCTTGTCTATGGCTTGAAATTGGCTTTGAATTTTTTTAGAATTAGATTCTACAAACAAGTTATTTTACATACAGTGAGAAAGCAACCGTTTGGTTTTGATTCATATAATAAAAAAAAATACTTGGTTGAGCTAGCACCGGATTTATTGCTAGAGCATTGCTCATAATGTAGGGGAATATTCTTCATACTTGTGGGTGGGAAATTGGATCAGAGAAGCTTTTTCAAGGCTGTACTTTAATAGACAAACTCTTCCCCTCAGTTTTTTTACCAGGTTATTTGTATTGCTTTCAAAACTACTACGATCAGGAGAAAACTCCCTGAAATCAGAGTACACGAGACAAAATTAAGAAAATACTTAGATTTTTAGGACTGTCAGTGAATTATTATTTGTAACTTAAGCAAAGGTTGAAGAGTTGAAAAAGTGGAGTGTTTTAAGGCATTAGTCATGCTTATTAAATGTTTTAAATTGAGGTAATTTTAATTATGAACAACTTCTCCAATTGAGGTATACAGAAGGCTTTTCTCGAGCTGAACACTCTTCTGTAGTAATCTAGAGAGTTAGCCCCAGCGTCCTTAGGAACCTAACTGTTCTATTGGCCTCCTTCACTGTCCTGGTTCTCCATCTGCCTGCTAACTTGCTCCTCCTCCATTTCCCATCCTTTAACTGTAAGATTTAAGGCCCCCATGCTTGTTTTGGGGGCCTCTTCTTTTTAAAAAATGCATTCATTATGTGAGCCCATCTGCTCATTTGGCTTCTGTCTATCTCATAGGTAAAAATCACTGTCTCTTCTTTATGTGTTTGTCAGCTTCTTAAAGGCAGAGAATTGTGTCTTTACTTATTTTGTGTTTTATCCAGTCCTTAGCGCAGTGGGTAATCCGGAAATATTTGTCAGGTCGAATGTAGTCTTGCGGTACTCTGCTGTTACTGACAAACTATTAAGTAGGCCTGACTACTTTGATTCTAAGATCTCATGGCAAAGGAGGAGTGTGCTGTCACAAAATAGGGAGAACAGTTAGGGTCACATAGCAATGTATGTAGAAATTTTTGTGTTAAGAGACTTAACTTGAATTGTAAACTTTCACTTAAAGCACAATCAAAAAAAAAAAGATCTTATGGCACTTGACAGTTGTTAAAGTTGTTAAGGTTAGTCTTGGCAGTTTTCAGTTTAGGCGGGTGCATCTAAGTTTATTAAACAAAAGCCTGTAATTTAGAAGATATGCTATATGCTATTTTTTATTACATCATCTAAAGAAAAATAAGAATCTGGAAAACCAAAATCACATAGAATTTTTATACAGTGAACCTGTGAGAGCAGAACTTTGACAGGACTGCCTTGTTTTTCTGGGTCTTGCAATTTTTCTGCCTTTGACAGGGTGCAGTCTTGCCACTTTTCTATCACTCAGTTTTAGTGGAAAATATTTGCACTTTCCTTCTCTGACAGGTTTCCGCCTTACACAGGTTCCGGCTTTCGGAGGTTTTACTGTATAAGAAGAGTGTTGTAGTATCTGGAAAATTCTTTTCCTTATTTTCCAAAAACTCCAGTTTCCCTCAAACAAACCTAGGTGCTCATAGGCCTATGTATAAAACAGAGGGAAAGCTATCCTAGTAGTGTTGTACTGCAACGTTAATATTCAGGAAATCATTTCATAATCATACCAACTTTACCATAAAGAACTTTCGTCAAATCTCAGGACTCTGATTTCTGTTCCTTGAAGTAAGCTGTAATGCATAGAACTGAAAAGTTTATTGTTCAGGAAAAGAAAAAATTGTTACAATGGTTCCTTTTAAATAGATTTTTAGCAAAATAAGTAGAATTATGTGATGTATTAGAGTTTTAATGTTGAAATATTAATGTATTTGTGGAATAAATTCTGTTATGAACAAGATGTGTATTCAGTTTATTAAAGATAGGGTTAGGTGGGGAGGCAATTGGAAAGACAGAATGAAATTTAAGAAGGAAGCTGGGCTTTGAAATCAGATGGATCTGGGTTTAAACCCTGCACCCTAGGACTGCCACTTAAAAGCTGTTCGAACTTGGGCAAATTATACAGCCTTCTCGAAACTGCTTTTTAGTCTGTCCTAAGGTCAGCAGTTTGAATCCACCATCTGCTCCTTGGAAACCCTATGTGGCAGTTCTGCTCTGTCCTGTAGGGCCTCTGAGTTTGAATTGACTCAACAGCAATGGGTTTGGTTTTTTTGGTCTGAAATAGCGATATTTATTTCATAGAGTTGTTGAAGGATTAACGACGTTGCCTAAGTACTTAGTTAACTTAGTGCCTGGCTGGCAAGCACTAAGCCTACAGTAAACAGATGTTATTACTGCTGTTTTTCATTGACCAGTAATTACCAGTAAATTTTGCTCTAAGTAGTACTGCCATTTTGATATTAGGTGTGTATATTCCTTATGTTTTAACAAGTGCCCAGCACATAAAAGGCCCATAATAAATAGAGTGACTATTTTGGTCATATAAAATTAACCCTTTCTATAAAAAGGAAGTTTATGTTCTGAAGTTTAAAAGTTTTATAACAAGGAAATGAATTACTAGAGGCACTGGAATTTCATTTCCTTTTTACTAGTGACTTAAATACTTTAGTTTAATTTTTAATTTCCTCATAATTTTCAACATAGTTATATGTATTTTTTTTTTGTCAGGATAAGGCTCCAAATAGCTCCTCTAACTGTCCTCCATCTACACCAACTCCTGATGCTTCTAAGCCTCGGAGAACAAAGCTTGCCTTTGACGACAGGTGAGATAAATGTGATTTTTTTTTTAATGCATTTAAGAAAGTGTTCCAGTCAGCATATGTGCAACTCATTTTAATTTCTTTCAGTGACCAGAAGAACTAATACTTGTAATGTATTGTGATCCACTGAGTAGTCAAGTTTTAATTAGAAAGGCACCCACTAGCCCAAGTATTCCTCCTTTAACTAACTCCGTGGCTCTCATGGGGAATGTGAATGATAAGCCATCTAGTAGATTTTTACTGTTTGTGGGATCACTGTTTAAAACAGGGGACTTTCTTTGATAAGATAGAACAGTTTTATTGTCCCCCTCTGCCCCGTTTTGATAACAGGTCATTTTTCCAACCCACATTTTATTTACTCTAACCTTTGAAACGACCTGGATAAGTTAGTATTAAGTACTAAGGAGCTTGATTTCTTTAAGTAGAAGACTAGCCTTGAGTTGGCCAAGATGATTTATGCTGTTAACTTGATTTAAACATTTGTCAGGAAAAACTGAAATAAATGTTTAGTAATAGCTCACTTTATTTGAGGACATGAAAACTGAGGGATACTAAAAACTAAAATGAATTAGTATTATGAAAATGTTTACCAATTTATTTTTAATAAAAATTTACATTGCAGAAATTATTCAGCAGACCATTATTTACAAGAAGCAAAAAAACTAAAGCACAATGCAGATGCATTGGTATGTAAATATTCTTCTCACATGTTTGTATTTAATCAAGTTAATTGAAACCCGCATTTGTTGTTTGTACCCATAGTAGATCTGTGCAGCTCTCACTACCTTTATTCTCCTTTCTTCAGTCTGATAGGTTTGAGAAAGCAGTATACTATCTTGATGCTGTGGTATCTTTCATTGAATGTGGGAATGCGTTAGAGAAAAATGCTCAGGAATCCAAGTCCCCATTCCCTATGTATTCAGAGACGGTGGAGCTCATCAAGTAAGTGGAAAGACTTGCCACATCATTGATAATAACATTACTGCTCTGGTCCACTAGGAAGGGGCTGAATATGTTAACTCTATACAGAAGAAGGTACTTAATCCTTTATTGTCTTGGATAAGGAGAACTAGATATTTCAGTGGATAATTTTGCCTTATATGAGGTTTGATTCTGAATTTTGAGTGCAAAGAAGTCATAAGATCAAGAGGAAGTATTGTTTTCTGCTTGTCTTTTGTTTGTCGTTTTAACTCACAGATACACTATGAAGCTAAAGAATTACTTGGCGCCAGATGCTACAGCTGCAGATAAAAGACTCACAGTACTTTGGTAAGTGTGCTTCTGTTCTAGCCACTGTTAGATGACAGGCAGTTCTATAATAAATTCTGCTCTGTATTCTCTTCTGACAGTTATCCTTGGATCAACCTTTCAACCTTGTCATATATCTGTTCTTGATGGGTAAAGCAGGAAATGACTCAGAATTCCTACTGAAGGATTTTACTTGTTGTCAGTCTCTGATCTGTTGCCCTCTTGAGGAAAGCCTTGGTGTGGAGCCAGTATTAGAACCCAACCCCGTCTTAAGTGATCACTTTTCTGGCCTCTTCTTTTTGTATCCTATCTCTCCATTCACATATATACCTTTCCTTAGGGAGCAGCAGATAAGAGAAGCAAATTTCAAAACTAGATATTCTGAAGACCTGGAGTTGGACAGTTCTTGTTTTGCGTGTAGTATGTTGGGTGTAGCACCAGACAGAGCTGTAATGTGCCTCTAGGTTGCTCAGAATAAAGAAAGTGACTTGTTTGTTCTTTGTCTGGGAGATATTATCAGTTTATTTGTTATAGGAGTTATTTGTAGCCTGGCTCTATGTTCAACACTGGGAATGCAGCTGTGACTAAAACACTCATGATCCTCTTCCTCAGGGAGTTTATAGTCTAGTGTGAGGAGACAGAAATTAATCAGATATCTATACAAGTATATGAATTAACTGCTTGGAAAGAAAAGCGTATGTAACTATAAGAGTAGCAAGTAGGGAGACATACTCTTAGGTAGAGGAAACAACATGTACAGGGGCTGGATGGAAAGGACTGGAAACTTCCAAGGAACTAAAAGAAGACCAGTAAGGAGTGAAAGTGACTTGGAAAGGCAGGCAGGGATGACGTGAAGGGCTTTTATAAGCCATATTAAGGTTTATATGTTTCATGTACCATTCATTCATAATTGAGTTTCCTAGGATTTTTGCTTGTTTTTTTAATTTTAGATTATTTTTCATTTGATCAAGGAGACCTCATGGTGCAGTGGTTAAGTGCTCCACTGCTAACCAAAAGGTTAGCAGTTTGAACCCACTAGCTGCTCCACCGGAGAAAGATGTGGCAGACTGCTTCTGTAAAGGTTACAGCCTTGGAAACCCTATGGAATAGTTCTACTGTGTCCTATAGGGTCACTATGAGTCAGAATTTACTCGACAGCTGCAGGTTTCAGTTTGGTAGTCCTAGGTCTCTTAGCCGTCTTCCCCTCCCTAGGATGTGTACCACAATAAGACACATCTTTTGGTTTTGCCTAAGGGTGAGTGTTGTTGACTTTATATCAAGATCTGCTTACAAGGCTCAGCCCTATATTCTTACACGATGTAGAGGTTGCCTCTGCAGAAGTGGCCAGAGTCTAATGTCCTGGTAAATAAGCTACCCTTTCTTCCATTGGCTAGCCTGCGATGGCAAAGTGGTTAAGAGCTTGACTGCTAACCAAAAGGTCGGCAGTTTGAATCCATCAACTGCTCCTTAGAAACCCTATGGGGCAGTTCTACTCTATCCTGTAGGGTTGCTATGAGTTGGAATCAACTCAATGGCAACGGGTTTGGATTATTTTTTTTTTTTAGCCTACGATGCCAGTCTTTGCTGTACCTGAGGCTATTCAAACTGAAGAAGGAGAATGCTCTGAAGTACTCAAAGACTCTGACAGAACATCTGAAGGTAAGTGTACAAAAAAAGGAAGGTCCATTTCCTAGGAGACAAAACTTGTAAAGTCCCAGTCCCCCCCCCCCCCCCCCCTGTGTCCTCATACCCACAGCAGGAGAGGAGCTGTTACTTAGAAACTTTCAAATAAATTTGAGGTTTTGGGAAAAGTTTTTAAACCCATGATAAATGCATATATGTATCCCATTGTAGAACCTAGAGAGCCTTATGCAGCAGCTCTTAATGAAATTTCAGTAGATGTAACCTATTTTTATTATGAAACCTAATTTATAATTTAAAAATGATGGCTGGCCGGTCAGCTCAGCTGGTTAATTGAAAAATGATCTTTTGTTTCCACTATTATCCTTCTTTACACTGTTATCGTAGCTTCCTAAAATGTCTTCCTATGTTTTTTCATGACAGCACACACAGATCTTCCTAAAATCCTGCTCTCATCATGACTTTGAACCCTTCTATAGCTTACCATTACCTGCAGGGTTGACTCGAAGCTTCTTACTCTGCCCTGCAAGGACCTCAAAGTCCCTCCCTTGTTCTTTGTCTAAACCTCTACCATAGCCAAATGGTGTGGGTCACTTACATTCTCTTTTCTGCTTCCTTTGTACATAGTATGGCTCACCTCCCTATGTCTATTTATCTGAATGTTACTCATTCTTTCCTGCTGCTTCTGTGAAGTCTTCCAGAAAACCCGAGGTCTTTGCTAAATAACTTCCTTCTGCACATTTTCACACACACATTCCCACACACACACATTTTGCTCCCTTAAATTTATAAAGCTTTTTGAGATCAGTTCTTGTCCAGTGCTTTAAAATATGTTTAGTAGTTCATAAGTAGTATTTTGGTTTTTTGTTTTGTTTTGTTTTAATTATTAAGTATATTTTGTTTTCTTCACAGAATTCTTATAATAATTCTCAAGCTCCATCACCTAGCTTGGGAAGGTGGGTAAAATTTTGTTCCGTAAAATATCATTTGTGACATTTGTTTATTTATAATGTAAAAGTGAAATGGATAGGTACAATTTCCAAAAATAGATGATAATTTTTTTAAATTAAATCCATTTCTCATATTTTTATGTCATCTATCCTAGAAGTGATCATTTTCTTTCCTCTTTATTTTTTTTTTGTAAGTCGAAAGTATAAAATGAATATAATCTTAGAAAGATGAGAGATGGAACATTTCACCTGCAAAAATCTGAGTTTCCTGCAAGAGTACCTCAACCTCACAGTCGAATTTCCATAATTACTTGGAATTTATTACCATGGGCTTATCTTTACTCAAGTCTTGGCACTGCCAGAATTTAATAACAGTGGCATGATTGTAATTTATCCTCCATCCCCGTACCATCCCCATCCCATCCACACTCAAAAGGAGGAAAAACACCATGAAACTTCTATTTTGCTAAGTTTATCTGTTCAGTTACACTGTGTTTATGTGAATTGACATTCTATCTTTGCTCTTTTATGTAGTTTCTCAACCAAATTTATAATGCTAGAAGAGTGCAGATAAAAATATTCTTAAGTGCTTTTTTCCCAACTTCTGATTTTCCTTTTCTTAGTATGTGATCATGGTCTTAGATATTTCCACAAATTTTAATATTCCTGAAATGAATCTTATCAGATTTCAACATATTTGTTTTCTAAGAAGTATCTAAGGAGACTGGTGACGCAGTGGGTAAAGCAGTCAGCTGCTAACCGAAAGGTCAGTGGTTCAAACTCACCAGCTGCTCCACAGGAGAAAGATGTGACAGTCTACTTCTGTAAAGATTTACAGCCCTGGAAACCTTATAGGGACGTTCTCCTCTGCCCTAAGGGGTTGCTATGAGTCGGAATTGACTCAACGGCAATGGGTTTGGGTAAGAAATATTTAGTTGGAAGGAAGACTGAGATGACTGTAGTTGATTTATAAAAGAGGTGTACCTCTTTGTTAGCTTTGGTTAATTTGGTTAAACTAGGAAATTGCTAGAAATTTTGGAGCACAATATTAAATACTTCCATTGACCATTACAAATTTTTGGGTTAATTGTCAACTCCACCCAACCTCCCACACACAATTTAAAAAATACCTGATTGAATGCCTGCATAGATGGAAAATGGGTTATATGGGTTTCTGAGTCTTTGAACTGCTCTAACAAGGTATGTGACTTCAGTTATTTCCCATCTCTTGATCTGTTACCATTCATTAAAACAAAGGGTCTAGGTAAGATCATCACCCACAGTGGCCTTTAGTGAGGTGAGTACTTATTTAGAAGAAAATGTACTTCTGTGGGAACTGTTCTAAAACAATCTTTAAAATAGAAAAGCCTTCATGTAAGAAGAGTCAGTAGTGCTTTGATTTCATAACGTTAACCATATCCATATGAACAAGCTTCCTGTTTCTCTGTGTGTAGCAAAGCAGTTGGGATGCCTTCCCCTGTTTCTCCAAAACTGTCGCCAGGCAATTCAGGAAATTACTCTTCTGGAACCAGTAGTGCTTCAGCAAGTGGCTCTTCAGTGACCATTCCACAAAGGATCCACCAGATGGCAGCCAGCTATGTGCAGGTTACGTCCAACTTCCTCTATGCCACTGAAATTTGGGACCAAGCTGAACAGCTTTCCAAAGAGCAAAAAGGTAGGTAAACAAACAAAAAAAAAAAACCAAACCTGTTGCCATTGAGTCAATTCCGGCTCATAGTGACCCTATTGGACAGAATAGAACTGCCCCATAGGGTTTCCATGGAGTGCCTGGTGGGTTTGAACTGCTGACCTTTTGGTTAGCAGCCATAGCTCTTAACCACTATGCCATCAGGATTTCCAAAAAGGTAGGTAGGACTCTGGAAAAGCGTCAGCTAAGATACGGAATTGTTAAAAGGAACCTTGATGACCTAATTAAGTAAGTGTCTGGTCTACATTTAGTTTATTATCTACAGTCAGTGATAATCAGTTTGCTGATATCAGTTGCTTAGCAGTCATACTGAATGTAACTGAAAGTTTTTTTTTTTTTTTTTTAAACTTTCATGATACTGGTGACACAAACAAAACTAAAAATAGTTCTGGTCTAAAACAAATACACCTCTTAACTCTTTTCTGCACATTAAATGCAGCTCATACTATCTTAGATTAGCACATATATTTTAATACTTTTACAGTTTTAGAATATATGTCCTAATCTACAGTTGTTAACAGTAATTTGGCTGAAGGCTTAGGATTACATCCAGACATTTGTACATCTCAGATATTTAATAAAAAAGAAAGTGCATGCATACTGGATTGTTAGGTGAACTGGAAGAAACTTACTTGATAAACGAGATGATAACATGAATAGATTTTTTAACATTCTTTAAAATTAGCTCATTTGATGCTTTGCACCTTAAGTTCATTATTTTCCAAACTAAGAGCATAGAAAATTATAAAGTATTTAAAGATTTTGAGGTAGTTCTTATCAGGCATGCCCTGGTGACAAAATCATTGAAAGCTCAGCTGCTAACCAAAAAGTCGGCAGTTCGAATCTACCAGCCACTCCTTGGAAACCCTATGGGGCAGTTCTTCTCTGTTCTATAGGGTTAGTATGAGTGGGAATCAACTCAGTGGCAACGGGTTTGTTGTCAGGGGCCGTCAAGTCAATTCTGCCTCATAGCAATCTCATGTAACAGTAGAACTGCCCCATAAGGCATTCCTGGCTGTAATCTGTATGAAAGCATATTGCCAGATCTTTCTCCTGCTAAGCTGCTAGGTAGGTTCGAATTACCAACCTTTTGGTTAGCAGTCCAGTGCTTATCTGTTTGCGCCACCAGGGCTCCTTAAGGAAGAGTACTGTCTAAATACCATCCTATTTTAGTAGAGGAGCCCTGGTGGTGCAGTGGTTAAGAGCTCAGCTGCTAACCAAAAGATTGGCAGTTCAAATCCACCAGCCACTCCTTGGAAACCCTTTGGGGCAGTTCTACTCTGTCCTATAGGGTTGCTATGTGTCGGAAACAACTCCATGGGATCTGACAACAACATTTTAGTAGATGTTATTAGCACATATTTGTGTATGGCATCTATTCAGGTCCATCCTTTTTAGAGAAACACTAGCCAATCAACCAAGTGTCCTTTTGTCACAGAGTTCCTTTAAATACTTCATAGTATGAACGGGTAATTAGGTTAAAATGAAAGATTCCTGTCCCTAAGAAGGGAGTAGAAGAGGAACTACAACACTGAACATAAAGTTGTATTTTTAAAAAACATGATTTGTTCCTAAAATTTTTTTAAATGTCAGTTTTGATCAAGAAACATTAGAGAGCTGACATTCCTCTTAGTCATGCTACTCTCCATTCTTCTCCCTGATGCCAGTTTCCTTTCTTTTTTAACTTGCCCTTACGGTAATTTTCAAACATTGACAGAAGGGAAGAGAATAGTGTAATGACCCCATGTGCCTTGCACTCACCTTCAGCTTCAGCAGCACAACACTTTGCCCATCTTATCTCATCTATTACATACACTCATGCGTGCGCGCGCGCGCACACACACACACACACACACACTCTTTATCTCCCCTAGAATATCTTAAAGCACATACCAGATTTTGTGGCATTTCCCCTGAAAATACTTTGGTATACATCCTTAAGTGATAAGCACTTTTCAAAAACGTGACCACCATGCCTTTTTCCCAACTACCAGTATTAACAATAACTCCTTTATGTCATCTATCCCTGATCGAGCATTAAGTTTCCATTTTGTCTCAAATATGCCATTTTTAAACAGTTGGATTTGTTTAAACAGGAACCAAGCAAAGTCTACACATTGCATTTCATTGATAAGTCTCTTAAATATCTTTTATACTATAACAATCCTTCCTTCCCCTCTCCAACTTTATTTGACCATGTCATTGAAGTTAGAGAGAAACTAGGTCATAGAATGTGTCATTACCTGGATTTGACTGATTACTTCCCCATGGTGTCCTTTAACTTGTTCTTCTGTCCCCCTTATTTCCTATATACTGACAGTTATATCTTGAAACTTGATTAAAGTTCAGTATTTTAGATAAGAACATCTGCTAGGTGGTGCTCTGTATTTCCTCTTGTATTAGGAGGCATGTAATGATTATCCCTTTTTTAGTGTTACTGAGATTGATCACTAGATTGAGGTGGTGTCAACCTGATCAGTTTGATGTCAGATTCTGTATTAAACTTCAGCTTATGCTTTTAGTATCCATTTTTGATCACTTCCTAGACCAGTTATTTCATTAGGAAATACAAAATTTATTAGGAATTTTCTATTCTAACATTCCTTTTGCATTTATTAGCTGGAATTCTATAAAGATGCACTTTCTCAACTGTTTAGTTACTTGTCTTGTTTGAACAGGCTGAGATCTTTATCTTGAGAATTTTCTTCAGTTTTAAAAACCCCCTTCTTACTGTCTGGTTCATACATCCCTCTGTTTTCTCCCTAAATTGCATTGGGATCTAATCTGAGGATACTGTTGCCCCCTCTTCCCCTCTACACCTCCCTTACAAGCATAACAGCCTGTGTTTGTTGACCTAGAAAAAATCCTTTTATTTCTATCCCTTAAAATTTTAAACTACTGTCTAAAAACATGGGTTTTAATTTATTAATGGTGAATATCATATGATTTCAGCAGAAAGGTTGGGTACAGGCTGTCGTTAAGTGTCTGACATCACAGGAGCGCTTATGGGGAAGCATGCAGAATACATCCTCTTTTTTGTAACCACTTGCTTCTTATACAAAAACAGTACACAGAGAATGTTTTAAGTGATCAGATATGTAGTACATTGTGGCACTAGGTCTCCATGTATAACGCTTAATTCCTGGCCATACATTGTGTTTAAAATGTTGTGTGACTTGGGGGAAAAAACTTGAGAGACTATGGGATGGCTTGTTCTAAAACATGAACAGTAATCATTTTAGTAGGGGAGGAAATGTTTTTTGACTTTATGTGAATGCTGTTTTACAATCTAGACTCAAGGTTTTAAAGCAGTGATTCAAAAGGATACGCATCATTTAATGAATGTTTTTGGTTTTCTAGAATTCTTTGCTGAACTGGATAAAGTAATGGGCCCTCTCATCTTTAACGCAAGCATCATGACAGACCTAGTTCGTTACACCCGGCAGGGACTGCACTGGCTTCGCCAGGATGCCAAGTTGATATCTTGAACTGAACACATTCTCGTTGCCTCTGATTTTCTCCACAACACTGTGTCACATCACGAAGGAAAACTGCCATAACACACCACCTAGTCGACACTAAGAATGAGGAATGGTTTTCTTCTCCCTGGTTCATATGGTGTTGTTGTTTATAACCCCAAGCTATCATGTCAATTGATCCCTTTAATGTTCCCAGTATGAAAAATTATTTAAATAGTTTTAAATCTGCAGCACATTGATAAGATGGTTTCATTTTTCTGTAATAAGATTCAAATTCCAGTTGTAATTCATAACTGATTGAAATTCTATTTATTTTAATTTTTTTAAGTTCCCAGATTGGGGCTAGTTTAAAGTTTAGTTATTTCTACCTATAAATTTACTCTGTTGAATATTTAGCATAAATTTAATGTAGGCATTTTTATTTATATACTTTGCGAGCTTTGTTACCTAATAGTGTCTTTTCGTGGTAGCTCTTACAAAAGAGTAAGAGTTGGTTCATCTTAGATATGGACATATTCTTTCCACATCTACTATCTGATACTATTTCAAATCTTAACTACAGTTTTATTGCAGAATTCATATTTAGTATTAAGGATAGTTTCCACATGAAAAATCACTTAAATATGAGAAGATGGCACTCTGTGTGGATGAAAGATGAAATCTGTCTCATTTGGTATGCATTATTTCAGGAACTGTGAACATGTGTTAATAACACTAAAGCAATCACAAGGTGACTATAACTTGCATTTAATGCATTACAGAAGAGGGCAGGCGAACTTTCTAGGAGAAGTACATCATGCGAAGGGTTGCATAAAGGGACAATCTTGAACTTTATGGATTTTATTAAAACCGTGTGTTCTTTTTTGTTGCTAATTACTTGACACTTAGTTGAAACAGAGTGAGTTACTGTTGAAAGAAGGTTGATCAGCTCCAGAGGCTTGCTGCCTAAATCTCTTTAATTGGTAATGTTTGAAGGTTAAAATCTCATTTCAGAATTGTTAGTGTTTTTTTTTTTTCCCCATACTAGATTTTTTCACTCTGACATGAGCATGCGGTGACTGATGTAGGAATGGGCTGGAGCTTTTGTGTGTGTGCTTTTGCTCTACAACTTACAACAATTCAAATGCCTGATGTAAAGATGGTAGATTTCTCCTTCTAAACCTATCTTGTATTTACTCCGTTTGTATTATGAGGGCCCCCATGAATGATGTGGGAGCCCTGGTGGCACAGTGGTTAAGAGCTCAGCTGCTAACCAAAAGGTCAGCTGTTTGAAATCCACTGGCCACTCCTTGGAAGCCCTATGGTGCAGTTCTGCTCTGTCCTGTAGGGGTGCTGTGAATTGGAATCGACTTGATGGTGGTGGGTTTGGTTTGGTTTTGTGAATGATGTATGTTTCTGATGGGAGCAGAGAAGTCACACTAGGGAAGTAACTTGGTACAGTGTGAGCTTTCGGGGAAAGGGAGGGGAGCAGGGGTAGAGTTTAAGAAGACAGCTCTGTAAGAGTTGTGTATCAAAGTACCTTTCCCTACAAGATGCATATAGGAGACAGAGGTGAGAAATGTACCCTCTATACTTTGTCTTTAGTGCCCCTGTCATGTCTGGTGTGCCTTATTATATCTTACCTTTAGATGAAGACTCTGTGGATTGTTTACAGATGAAGCTTTACACTAAACAGGTTGCCCAGCCATACACCATTGGTCTTCTGCAGTAATCATGTTAAATTCTGTTTTCTTTTAAATCTTCCTTTAGAGTCACAAAGATTAATTTCAGAAAAACTAACACTTTGGAACGTGACTTATTCTAACCTATTGGATAATGCTGCTTCAAAAAATAGTTTGTCCATCACCCCATTCCAAAAATGAACCCATCTAATCAGAAAAAAGGATTGCCCTACTATTTAGAGATGATTGCTAAGGCTGTAGATGGAAACCTGGAAAGAAGGGATAGAAAATCTTCGAGTGCAGTGGTACAGTGAATCCTGTGTTTGAGTCTCTTTTACACTTATTTCAGAAGTTTGTAAACTTTCATCATCCAGTGGCTTCATATTTATAGAGATTCTTAACTGTTTGTACTTCAAGTTGTTTTTTACATATCATTGAAGATTAAGATCTACAAATTATGTTGAATTTAACCTTTTTCCCAGGAGAAATTATCTCTAATGTCTTTCTAATTTAATCTTGTTTATTTTAGGAACAGTTTTCCTTAAGAGGACACGATAGTTATTTAGTAAAAAACTCGCCACTGTTAATCAAGTAGATGTATGTCTTGTCCTCCTCTACCCTGTTTCCTCAATTTGCAGTGATGTCTTAGAAATGAAAAAAGCATCATCCAGCGTTCTAGACTTTCAGCAACAGCAGCCAGTGGGGTGCCGCTAAGTTCCAGTGTGTTCTAGTTTCTTGTGTGTCCTGGAGGGCAGCAGGAGCATTTCTAGGATCACACTGAAATTTTGTTAAAGCAGAGTTTCCTGCATGTTTTATGGTGCTGCTCTAAGATACTCTCTTTTTAAAACTGTGTTAATTCTTGGAGAGTGAATTTTTCAACCTTTTCATACTGGAGGATTTTCCCCACGAAGTGATAACGGGCAGTGGATCAAAATGTTATCCTAAATAATTAAATTTTCAATGCCGTAGTCTGTGGCAACACCACTCCCTCTCCTCTGGGTCCATCTTCTAAATGTCTGTCTCTGTGTTATCATCTGCTCCAGCACATGCTTTGGACTCCTATACAGGTGATCATTCCTCCCTCCTCAGTAGGTGTCTTCAGTGTTTTCTAACCATTTAAAACTGAAATTAACAAGTGGCTAAAAACTTATTTAGTCTGAGACTTGTACTTAATATATAGTTAATTATAGGAATAGCAACTATTTTAAAAATTACTCTGTTGACTGCTCTTTAAGACCACACTTGTATGCCAGGAGACAGCAGCGTGCAACATCGGACCCTTTACAGGCAACCAACGCACAGACTGTGGTGGATGAAGTTTTCACATGGTAGTCTTGCCAGCCTGGGCTCGGCTGCAGGGAGCCCTTCCCTCCAGGTGATTCAAGCTTTCACAGCTCAGCCTATGCTCTAGCCTGGCGGGGGCGCACCCAGCCCATTTCTTGCCTCAGTGCCACTTTTCTCTGTGCAAGTAGCCAAGAAGTGACTTTATAAGCAGTGAGTACTGGTATGTTCAGATAAATTTACAGCTGTAGCTGGTGAAGACTGGAGAAGGTTGACCAGCACTGATTTAATTCTCCACTGTAAAAGCAATCTAGAGTAATGTGTGTACATGCCCACACACACTTGTGCCTCCGGGGAGCTCTTGCACTGATGGATCTATGGGCATCTGGGCTGCACTTTGAATGACACACTTGTGGCTTTATTAAATTCACTGTTGTTGTTTTTTTCATTGTTTTCGTTAAAGGTTTAATCAGACTAGATCAGACAACATTATTTTGTATTTAATGACAGAAACTTTGGGAAACTTAACTTTTAATGAATGAGCTTGCATTGTGAAGCAAGAGCCTAAAAAAGGCACCTATTATAAATGGAAGTTCTGGCTCTGGAGGCCAGCACTCCATGGCATTTCAGAGCAGCCAGTGGTCGCTCCAATCAGTGATGCCTAGTTGTGTAGAGGAGGGGGTACGCTGTGTACTCTTCTAGGTGTGAGGGTATGCAACTTTGGATTTTAAAATTATGTACACATACACACTTTATATATATATGTATGTATGTATGAAAACATGAAATTAGTTTGTCAAAAATGTGTGTGTTTAGTATTTTAGCTTAGTGCAACTATTTCCACATTATTTATTAAATTGATCTAAGACACTTTCTTGTTGACACCTTGAATATTAATGTTCATGGGTGCAATGTGTATTCCTTTAGATTGTTAAAGCTTAATTACTATGATTTGTAGTAAATTAACTTTTAAAGTGTATCTGAGCTCTTCTGTAGTAATACAGGGCTCTTACAGGGTGGGAAGGATTTTAATTTTCCAGTTGGTAATTGAAAAAAAAAGGCTTCGTTATGTATTTTGAATTATAGGAGTTTGCCTCTGGGTCCCAGAGACATCTACTAAGGGACAACTGCTTCCGGCATATTGTGATTTTTTTTTTTTTTTTTAAAAAAAACCTGAGTAACATGGGGAGCAAAGCATTTCAAATCCTCATAGTCTCCTATAACTCATATTCCCTAATTATGTGGAACACAAAATTTTATTTCAACTTCATGTATCGTTGTGTTGGAGAGGCAGATTTTTCCTCAATAATAATATTACATACCTAAGGTTGCTATTCAGTAAAATAAATAGAAGAAGTAACTAACACTAACTTTTGAATGACTTGGAATATGTAGTGACGAGGGGCCAAACTGGCCATGGTTACGAGCGTATCTTTCATGGGTTCAACCAATGGAGAAATTCAGTTCAGACCTCTAGATGTTAGAACCAAGCTAGCAAGTGACATGAAGTAAGTTAATAGTTGGTAAAAGTGGTCTTACTGAGCCCCTATTCAGATGAACCCTGTGGTTGATTAAAAAAAACTTGCTGTCTCCAGAAAAGGGAACGGAATGACTATATAAATCTTTTTGTCTCTTTTTTTCATGGAATTTGGTGAAAGAATATCAAGGCATTAGTGTTAAGTCTAAACCAAGTCATACAGATCTTTAAGCATCCTAGAATAGCAGCCTGAGTAATCATCAGGTAATGAAGCTAACTTTCAGGAATATTAGCATTGACCTCTCCTTGCCAGTATTGCTCAGCTAAGCATAAATTGCCATTCTTAAAAAGAAGCAAACAAACTAACAAAAACAACACAAAAGAGGGAGGCCTTTAAATGAGCATGGAAAAGCTCCCACCCAGAAATTCTAGTAATTTTCTGTTTTGACCTCTTAGACTGCTTCCATCTGGTTCTTTTCAGCTTTTAACCATTGGAATTTTCTCCCTGCTGTTCTCTCTGGAAAATATTTGAAAATGCTGCCTTTCAAATCAATGCCATGATTGTCCATACTGTTGAGTTTGTTGTTGCTGTTCAAGAAGTGTCCCCATCTTACAGCTTTATGCACACACCTGGCAAATCATTGACGTGAGCATTCAACAGTACTGGGGGTGGGGTAGGTGGGGCAGGGCTTACCAACAGAGCTGGCTCGATTGGTGGCAGTGCCTGAAAAGGCACCACCTTTGAGGACCAGGTGGGTTGGTAAGCACAGTTATGAAAATTCCTATCTAGCCTCCGTTTTGAATGGTTTTAAGAAATTTTGTATATGGAGGATGGAAATACTTATATATTTATTAAAAATCCTTTTATTTGAAATTAAAATTATTTGCTGAATAATGGTTTGATATTTGGGGAGGGTTTTGGAGGGGAGGTAATGCCACTGATAAAAGCCTTGTTAATTCTGCAGAAAGGTACTGTTAGTGACTGATAGGATGCCTTTATTTGTACATGATCCAAATCTTTGTTTTACGTTTCTTCTATCCAAAATATTTAGGCATCTGACATTTTCAACCAAAATTTCAATTCTATACTATGATTTTTATTTGTTGCAATACATTAAAATTTCAGAGGTACTTTGGGGCTCAAAAGCTAGAATTTCTAAGTCAGTATGTGCATTTCACATTATAAAGCTGTTAATGTTGAGCAAAGTATTATATACTAACTAAATTTTTCCACGTGTATAGTATATGTATTTTGTGGTATTGAGATTATAGAAAGTTTAGAGTGTCAAACATGCGTTTAATGTGTATTTTTAAACAAATTTATGGCGATTAAAATATTTGGAGACAAGGGTATCACATTTCAATTTGTAAAAATCTTTTTAACTCTACTGTGTCATTAAGATGCTTTGTATAATGCCAAACCATAGCTGGAGAAACTAAGTTTAATAAATATCAAATAGATTTTCTGTATTAAAGTTTATAAACACTGTGCTCTTTACACTTCTTCAACTCCTACTTTGCCCCTTTCATGTAATTTCTGTTCTGTATTTAGGGTCCACTGTTACTCTTCTGGTCCCACAGCCCAGGTCTCATTTTCTGATTACAGAAATTCTGACCTTGCTGACCTTGTGCGTAGATCATAATTTACCCTGCTGCAACAGAAATCTCAAATCCTTTTTTGTGTTCTTGGTGGCTTGGGCTTTTATTAAACTAGATTTTTTTCCCGGTTCTGGCTTAGGTTCAAACAGTCATAGACTGGGCCTGTCATTAGGTTGCAAATGCCAAAATCCCCATCTTCGACATCTCACTTTAGAGTTCCTTACGTGGAGTTAAAGGTGGGATCCAGGGCCACAGGTTATTAAATTGTGAAGGCTGATTGCATAGCTATTGCTAAATTTTTGCCTTTAACCTGCCATCATGTTCTATGTTTCTTGAAAAAACATTAACTCTCTCCTTCACATTTTACAGATTGAGAAGTTAACACATCATTATTAGACAATGACGTTTTTTCCTATACTGAAGTGAACCCCCTCTCCCCTCAGAAGCTTGAATTTCAGGCTGCCAAAATTTCAATTGGAGACATTTAATAGTAATACGTATAAAAATAAACTCTTAAGTTGAAAAGTTCAGTCATGTTTATCCACTTATCAACATTCTGAGAAGAAATGGAGACTCATTAAAGCACACATATGTCTTTAAATATTAAAAATACAAGACTGCTTCATTTAGGTGTCTCAGCCAAAATGCAGTTAATCAATATTCCATAGAACAGAGCATTGTTGTAGGTGAGTGCTGTCCTCTCTCTCCCTAGTATGTACTTCATTCCTGGGCCACACTTAGGGAACAGCGTCTTTTTCTAGAGCAAAACAAAAAGGTAGTTTTTAAGACAGAGGTCTAGAAGTGCCCAGGGTGGCCTCTGCTGCACTTTCTTCTGCGTGATTGGTCCAGTCTCAGGAAGACGGAAGAAAGGAAAGGCACTCATCTTTGATGGTACCTGTGTGGACCCGTTCTTAGCTCAAGAGGGATTTTCCTCTTCCAGGGAGCTCCCAGCCTCACTTCACCTCAGCCACCCCTCCCAACTAGCTTTATTCCTTGGTCTGTGTGATTCCTGACTTCTCCCCTGCCCAGCCTCCCAGGGCTCTGGCGCAGCCCTGCTTCCGGGTTTGAGGACTACCTGCATAGCCTTGTGATACATTCAGAATCATCCCGACAGGAGGCTCCAATAGGCCTAAGAGACACTCCTCTCCAAAATGGGGTCATTCTCCTCAGTCTTCTCTTTGCTGAGCTCATTTCCGGTACTGGGGAACCATCTACCTGTAGGGCAAACATAAATATGCCTCAGGTATGGAAGAGGTGACACTGCTGTGCACCGTAGAAGAATGATCGCCCCCAGGATGGTGCAGATTCAGAGCAGAGGAACCATTCTTCGGGACTAAGTGCGGCTCCCAGGTTCTGCTGCAGTTCCTTTACCACCACTGCACACATATACACCCTTTCTTACCTGGCCTAACAGGAACAGGCAGGTCATGAGCACAGCAAAGAGTCTGAGGGGCCACATCTTGACAGGAGGAGGACAGCGTCAGTCCCCACTTTTTATAGATTGAAATTCTCCCGGGTGGTTGCCAGATGAGGTCAAAGTTTTTATTTGCAATCAGGATCAGTTTAATAAGTTAATGTCTACCAGAGGAATGTGTTCAAGGTCTGCCTTTCAGACACGTATTTACTGATCTCTCTGGACTTTGAGTGATTGTATTGCTGACTTGGACCCTTTCTTGCATTTTACCAAAAGTCAGCACTGGCTTTCGCTTTGAAAGCCACATGAAGCCATTGAGGAAGGCCAGGCACCTGGCCACATTTTGATTCCAAAATAGCTCAGTGAGATCACTAGTCAAAATAGAATTGTAATAACAGGGTGTTCAGAAATAGTATTTGAACCTTTCAGCCTTGTCTAGGAAAGAAAACTGGTCTATTGTTATAGGAGAATTGGAGAAAAAGCCCTTATCTCCCTTCTGTGGGAGGATGCTCAGCAAGCTAGATCTGCAGTGCCCCAGATCCCATATTATCTCTGCCAGATCATCTTCCCAGTAGAATGAGTACTCAGCTGTGGAAAATTCAGTGTCTGACACACCTGCTGTCTCTCCCAGGGCAAGGGCAATCAGGACCGATGTGGAAGTTATTTGAACCATGGATAAATTGTGTGGATTGTAGCTGTTTTAAACACGTGTGCATGAGGAGGTGGCATGAGCTTCTAAATCAGTGGGAGAGCTTGTGTGGTGATTAAATCACATTGCAAGCCTTGAGTTACGGGCTTTCCTCCCAGTACTTGCTGGGGCCCTCTACACAGCATATCGTTCCAGCAGTTTCAGGGAAGCAGGCATAGGGCTGGGAAATGTCCAAAACCCAAAAAAACAGCTAGGAGCAATAGCTTAATTGGGAACTGCTGCAGATTTCTAAACTAAGAAAGGGCATGTATCACCAAACTATGAGTAGTTACGAGTATTTATTAAATGACATGGGAGCTTTAGTAAATTTGGGGGCAAAGGTGTGAATTTTGGGTAAGGAGATGTATAAGATTTTAGATCTTCTATGACATGGAAGAATTACCAAGACAATTGCAACAAGATTCTTTCCCCATCTACCTGGCATCTCCCTGAAAACTTGGCTGATGGCTTTTCTGGAGGCCCTTCTCAACTTCAGAGTTGGGTATTTGGATGAGTTGCCTATTCCCTTGCCCCAAGGAAAAGTGAAGGAGACGCAACACAGCTGAAGGTGGACAGGACGGTCACGAATCCTTCTGCCAGGGGAATAGAGGGTGCCTCTCACCAAAGGAGAAGAGGGTGTATTGGGGGACCTCAGAGCTAAGACTGGGTGGGGTGTAACTCCACAGATCTAGTTCCAGTCCTCTCAGGACCATGAAGGGAGAGCTACTGTTTGCACTTTAGGAACATCGAGAAGCAGATCTATGCTTAACCCACCTAACCTACAAGTTACAAGGCCAGTTTTCTGTACCCTCCCTTAATCTCTGAGTTTGTATGCTGGATGACACGAGATAGGGGCTTAACTAGGAGCTGGGAGAGGGAGGAGGCTACGTGGTGACCTAGCGAACATTGGGTAAGAACACATCTGATTAGATAGGCAAAAAGCTGAACAACGGGCTGTCCCAGAGCCAGGTGGGTCTGTGAACCCCGTGCTAAACCACCTTGGAGTGATGTGGTGCCAGATGGGCTCTGGAAACTGCGCATTCCAAAGATAAGTAGTTTCTCCTAACCCTCCATTTCTGCCTTCTGTACTTCAAGCAGAACCAAACTAGCCTTTTGGGTTAATTTGTGAAGCCAATACCATAGTCAAGGGAAGAGCCTGTAAGCTCCAGGCCCCCGTGCATGGGGAAAAAGAACAACACTGCCTCAAGCTCCTATCTCGTGTGCCACTTCCCCCACCCCCAAAAGAAAAGACCCGGTCATTATTACCAGTAGAAGTAACCACTGTTAGGGAAATATTTCAACATATATTTACACTAATTATTTAAATTTTTAAAATTTACATTGTTAAATTACCTGTTGTTTTATTTAAATCCGGAGCAAAAATCAAACTTTTAAAAGCAAAGCATCATCCAGGCAGCATTCAGCTTAAATGGCAGCAGATATCCACAGCCATCCCACACCCCTGGGAGTGACTTCAAAGTCTGTTTCTGAAAAAGGAAAAAAAAAAAATTCACAGGCTCTCTGCAATAGAGTATTCTGCTGAATGAATTAACACAGAGCTACATGCTCCTTCCTCCAGCAGAAAGGCCTAAGAAGTCTAACAAAATTTAGCCATAAGCAAAAAGAATGCTTGGTTGGAAGTCAGGAGCCTGGGGTCTAGGCGTGGTGACTGACCACAGGCCAGCCCTTCCCCTCTCTGGGCTTTATAGTCTTCTATAAAGTAGATGGGCTGTAGAGTCTGGTGCAGGAAGCTCTCTCTTCAGTCTACCAACATAATTCCCAAGATGCAGGCCCAGAAGCTGGTGCCAGTTCCAGCCAGCAAAAAAGCAATTGGCCCTTTGCTGAAATTTTACCTGGAAAAGTTTTTCCATTTCAGAGTCTTTCATCTACTAAAGTACATCCTTGAGACCTCTCAGGTACTGACATTTGGGGGTTCACATTAGTTTATGATAAAGTGAGACTGGAGCAGGTTCGATAGCTAAGAGCTTGATAACTCTGGACATAACTCCTAGGGATTTTCTGCTTGAGGTAAGTGCCTAGGACCAAATGAAAGAGGATGTAGGTACCAGAGCAGCTGTTTGAAACACATTCTAGGTGGAGAGATTAGGACTTGGCAGTAACCGGAAACTTTTGCTTTCAATGAGCAGGAGGTGCCTAATAAAAAATGAAAGACTGAAATGGAAAAACTTTTCCGGGTAAAATTTCAGCAAAGGATCAAAGTGTAATTGCTTTTTTGCTGGCTGGAACTGGCACCAGCTTGTGGGCCTGCGCTAGGCCTGCATCTTGGGAATTACATTGGCAGACTGAAGAGAGAGCTTCCTTCACCAGACTCTACAGCCCATAGATAAAAGTGTTCCCACAATGATGGGGGACAGCAGATCTGCTTGGGAGAAGAAGGGCTAAATGGAGCAAGTGGTTACATCACAGGTGAAGGAGCCATACCTGGGGTTGGAAGTTCCAGGTGGATGGGTTCTATAGGCTTTGAGGCCCATAGCAGCTGTTTCTCCTCCTGTAAAAGCCTTTAGGCAGCATTTCGTTTTCTTTGTGGATTTCCACAGATTAGAATGGTCCCTAAAATGATCCCAGATCCCATATTGTGTACAAGGGCACTAAGAAGCTGTGACAGCTCACCACATTCCACACCCCCACTGCCTCAGTGCCCGTTACACAGGTGAGATCCATGTCCCAAGCTCAGAGAGGGGAGCCCCAATAGTAAGAGGTCCAGAGCACCCTTTAACAATTTTAGCCATAGGCAGCTCAGTCAGATCAAAGCATCTACTGTAGGGTCTTCTTAGTAGGGCACTCTTGGGATCAAAAGGATTGAGGCCAACAGGGTCAGTGCCTAGTCTGGGGTGAGAGAGGGTAAATTGAGTTTTTTGAGCTGGTATCTCTAAAGAAGTCAAAGAACTGTTGTTGATAGGTGCCGGTCAGTTGGTTCCAACTCATAGCAACCCCATGTACAACACTACAAAATACTGCCCGGTTCTGCACCCTCCTCACAATTGTCATGCTTGAGCCCATTGTTGCAACCACTGTCAGTCCATCTCTTTGAGGGTCTTCCTCTTTGTCGCTGACCCTCTACCTTACCAAGTATGATGTCCTTCTCCAGGAACTGGTCCCTCCTGGTAACATCTTCAAAGTACATGAGACGAAGTCTCACCATCACCGCTTCTAAGGAGCGTTCTGGCTCTACTTCTTCCAAGATAGGTTTGTTCTTTTGACAGTAAATGGTGTATTCACTATCCTTCTCAAAGGAGTCTTTGACCCACATATGTTGGAGATCAGGCATCAAGCTCTGGAACCTGGACAAAAGGCCAAACAGCAAGACTGGACCATGTTTGGTGAGGCAAGAGATTTCATCAGCTAGCTGCCCTGTTAAGCTTGCACCACCGTGCCAGATACCTATCACTCATTTCATTATCAGATCACTATGACTGTACATTACATCTATTTTCTGGGTGAGAAATCGAAGGCTCCAGAACAGAGGTTACCTGCCTGTATCAGTGAGGAAGCAACAGTTTAAGGGTATGGGCCCAAGTCTGTCTGACTCAGCCTTTCCCCCTTATTCTGCCTCACAATCAACATGAATATTTTACAGATGTCTTTCCTCAGGATAGTTTAATTTGGGTTCTTAAACGGCAACAGCAATGAGAATAAGATACAGCCTGAGCCATAAGCTGAGCCACACCTCCCAAAATGTACTGTTCTAGATCAGCAGAAAGTGTCCTTAGAGGAAGTTTCTAGAAACACAGCAGGGGACCAGAAGCAGCATAAAATAAACTCTGCCAACCGCAATCCCTTCACCATCTCCTGGTAAAGGGAAAAGAGTACCTTTCATGCTAACATACTACAAAGGCTCTAGAGCAGGGGTTAACGAACTTTCTCCATAACGGGCTGAATTTTACACACTTCGTGTGGTTAAAAAAAATGCTTGGCTACCAGGTAGAGAGGTCAAGGGATTACCTCATCTCCTCCTTTCATAGCTGACTTCTGCTCAAGTTAAGGCAGGACGGCCTTGGGCGGAAAGGTAATATAGTATGGAATTTAAGAGCACAAACTCTTGATTCCAGAGTTCACCATTCACTAACTGTAATTTTGGGCAGGTTACTTAACTTCTCTGTGCCTGTTGCTTCATCTACAAAATGAGTATAATAATGGTGTTTGCTTCAAAGGTTGTGAGATTTAAGAGTCAATTTGTGTAAAGGCTTTAGAAGAGTGCCTGGCATAGTAAGCACAGTATTACTAGATTTTACTGTTACTGGGCAGAGGGCCAGGAACCAGCAATACCCACAGCTCATGCATACCACCCACAACTGGCCAGCTGCAAGAGGCAGGCAGGCACTTTCTTGTAGATTCTAGAACAGGGGTAAGCCCCGCTTCTTCACCAACCCCCCAAAACTAGCCAAAATCGTCAGATCTCATGCTAGAGAGTGGAGCTTCATGAATTTGAATATTGGCAATCAGACCAAGCATTCTGCTCACAAAAATGCAACACCACAACAACGCAGTCCATAAGAAGTTTATTGTGTCTTCAGGACACTACAATGCAGATTCCTCTCCCAGAGAAAGATCTTTCAGGGACAGGGAACCATCAGCCAGGTGAACTGCTCACTTGTCATTTTCATAGTCAGCTGGATTCTTCCTCTTGGATTTCTCAAACTCTTGGTTCCCCCATGTGTAGACAAGATAAAACACTACAAATGCTTTAAAAATCAAAAGTGAGAGTAAGCAGTCAGCACATATAAGACACAGGGGTCTCAGTTCTCTTTTCTGACTTACAGCAAATCCTGCCCTCCTGTCTAGTTTTCCAAGAAACCACTTTTAAACCGGGTGACCAAGAAAGGTAACATTACAGACCCCCTTTTTAGGTGACCAAAAAAGGGGGTCTGCCAGGTAAATTTGTCACCTGAGCCAGAAACTGACCCTCTCCCCCCTGCTACACATTTAAATTTTTTTAATGGAGATAAGACACATAACATAAAATTCATCATTTTAACTAAAAGTGTAAAACTCGGTGGCTTTTTAGTATATCCACAATGTTGTTCAACCATCACCACTATCTGCTCCACATTTAATACAAAACATTTCATCACTGAGTAGGAAGGAAAGAAATGAATCAAGATGACTTCAGAGGGAGGCGGTGGAGTCACACATGTGACCTTAGGCCCGTCACTTAAGTTCTCAGTGACTCCGTTTCGTCATCTCTAAGATAGGATGATACGCCTAGCTCGAAAAGCCGTCACGAATATTCAGTGAGAAAATGAGTTTACGGCAGGTTACAAGGTGCCTGCCCGGCGGCAAGCGCTCACTGAGAACTGTGGATGGGATCCGGCCTCCTGCGTCCGCCCCCCGCCCCGCCCGAGGCAAAGGCACTCACGGGGCGCGGCCCGCAGGATGGACGCCCGAGTGCGGCGCACCACGTTGGGGATGCCCTTGCTGAAGTAGTGAGGGAAGGCGCGCTGTTCGAAGGGCGACAAGCTGTAGGTGATCACATGCCGCATCCGCGTCAGGTTCCCAAATTCGCGGCCCATCGTCGCGGCGGTGCCTGCAAGACGGAGAGTGGACAGATGCTTGGCTCAGTCCCGGGACGCGCCTCAGCCGGCGCGGGGTCGCCAGCCCGAGATGCCCTCCCCGGCGCCCATTCGCTCCTCTTCTTTCCCAGCCCAGGCGGCGCCCCCCACCCCCCGCAGTCGCAGGCCGCCCGGGTGCTGAGTGCTCCCACTATCCCAGGGGCCCCCAAGACCGTGCGGCGCAGCCCGACCCGCCCCCCACTTCCGAACAGAGGTCACCTCACCCTCCACAGTCGAAGGCCCCACCGGCCTCCGCCGTCACTTCCGGTAGGCTCAGAAGTCGCTCTTGGCGGCCGTGAAGTCACTTCCGGGAAATACCATTTTCCTGCTGTCTTGAGGGAAAGGCGCTATTATTCCCCGTTCTGTAGATAGGTGCCCTGACCGCGTGCCCCAGCAGAGGGGCGGGGCTGGGCTGGAGGTGGGGCTTAGTGGAGGACCACAGGGATTGCGCGGGGGCTGTAGGGCTGGGTGGAGCCTCCCCGGGCTCTCACAGCCCTTCTCAGGCCCCAGGCTCTCTGTGGAGCACCTGGCAGGAAGCAGCCGGGTGCCGAGAGGAGCAAATTGGTGAAGGGAAAGGGATCAGCGGACCTCGAGGGCCTTTCTGGCCGGGAGCTGAGGTCACGCGAGGCCTCAGAATTGGAGAGGGCTCCTGAGACCTGAGGAGGTGCCGCCGCAGGCAGCGGGATTCGAGGTTTTATATGGTCTTGTCTAATAGCTAAAAAGAGGCTCAATTATTTTCAGACTGTCAGCGACTCCAGTACCAAAATCAAGGACATGGATCTAGTGCTTCTTTTAGTCACCTCTGCCTTATAATCAACTGCAGAGTGTAAATTTTCCCAAGATACAATAATAAAAACTTTTCCTCAAATTTCTCCACATCGTCAGATAATTTCCAAGAAATTGATAAGCGGCTGTTAAGAATGAAGGAAGAGATTACCTCGACAGCGGCTAGCTTCCTCCCCAGATGCTTTGACTTGGGGGCTTTCTGTTGTTCTGACTGCAATTCTCTATTCCCTCCCAGGATGAGAGGCGAGGAATTGTGTGTGTGAGGTGTTCCTGTGTTTTCCCTCACGTGCATTATACTTAGGGACGCCGTTGTCCAGTGCAGCCAACTGGCTTTTCTAGTTGATTCAGAGTGTCCGTAAATGTTTAGTTAATGGAGTTGCTGGCCATATATGTATAATCTAGGGCTAAGCTTTCATTCAGTAGTTTGGGGGTGTTTTATAATCCTGCTTAGCAGGCACAGACCGTCTTGAAAGGAGACTTGACAGGCAATGCTCTTAAACATTTTACAAACATACCTCAGTTTTATCAGTGTACGTACTGCACAAACTGATTCTGTATCTTGTCCTATGAGTATGGGTTGACTTCCAGCAAACAGTCTCCTTCGTGGTGGCACTGGATAGCCCCTCACTTTGGTTTTTCATGGTGCACTTTTACCTTATGTGTCTAAAACAATCTCTAACCTGATCTCCGTACCAAGGCAAGAACATAAGTACTCGGGACAGTTAACGATGAAAATACCCACAAAAAATAAAACATTCATCTTATAGCTGCAAACATCTCTAAACCTTTCAGTCAAAATATGTATGTATGGATGAGCAGATCAAACAAAGTAAGGACATCAAAATACTATATTTTAAAATGAGTCAAGGTTAAAGGTGATGTCCTCTGTTAAGCATATTGCAAGTACGGTTGGAATGTCAATACATATTCTATACTAAGCCACCTGGGAGGACTGGACAACCTAACTGTTCTCTGCTCTCTGGAATTTCTGTGCACTTGTGACTTTCTCTCACCCTCCAAATCAACATTCAGTAAATAATTACTTTCAAGGTACTTATTGTAAGCACCTGGAAATGAGAGAGGTGGTGAGGATGGAGAGAAAGGGTAAACCCCATACCATAAATTGCATATCAACAAATCAGAGTATCATCATGAATAATTAGCTTTTCCACACTCTCTGGAAGTTTCTCCACATGCTCTGGAAGTTTCAGCAAACATCTAACGAATATTTTAAGAATCCTAATTTCCCTCAAAAAAAGGCAGGCTTTTCTCAATTTCTCTTAGCCTTTCAGCTACATAATCAGTCCATTAGTATAACCATAACTTAACAGGTTTTTCATAACTGCCAGGAACAAGGGAGAGAAAGTCAAATAACCAAATAAATCTATATCTAATGAGGACAAATTGGCTAAATAAGGTGTTACCAGCTGTTTGATATAGAGTTGATAAAATTATCTTCAGCTAGGCATCCTTGAGGTCTGATAGAAGCGACTCAGGCCACACACCTAAAACTTAAGAGACCAAGCCAGGGTCTTCCTGGCCTTTAGGAAGAAGACTGGTATGGGGAAATGTGTTCCTTGCTAGTTCTTCCAAGCCATGGCTTTTCCCAGCAAGTTCCTCTTTTGGTTTTGCTGCTTTGTCTGGCTGTGTTTTTCTATTAGCTTTGGTTCTCAGGCTTCTAAGGGAGAAGCTCGGGGTGCAGCCAGTGCTGAGCTGGAAACTGAGGCTGAACCTCGGTCCTTGCTGCAGCCTCTAGATGAAAGAAACAGATCTGGCCTCCTTCCCTGTCCCTTCAAGGTTCTGTCTGATGAGCGAGGTGGAGCACATAGGCTGCAGCCAGACTCCAGAGCTTTGCGCTACATGAAAAGGCTGTATAAGGCATATGCTACGAAGGAGGGGATCCCTAAATCCAGCAGAAGTCACCTCTACAACACCGTTCGGCTCTTCACACCCTGTGCCCAGCACAAGCAAACTCCTGGGAACCAGGTGACAGGTATGTAGGAGCAGACTGGTTAACTGGGTAGAGGGAAGATGATAGAAATTTTGGCATTTCAACTACAGAAAGGAGCTGGGCTTTGCTCCTGGAATCGCGTTCTATTTTACATGGTATTCAATATCTGAATTCAGACAAATCTGGTACTTGCTCCAATTGTTTCTTCCTAATGCTCTCATGGTTTAAGGTGGGTTAAAATGATAGACTTTTAGAGCTAGTAGAGACTTAATGGCTCTAAAGACCGAGGAAAGTACTGCTGGGGAGCTTTAGCGTCTTGTCCAAGGTCACAAAATCAAGACTGGGAACTGGGTATTTTGACTTGCGCTGGCTCGTTCTTTACACCAAGCTGCTGGCTGGAAATTTGCCTAAATTTCCCCTTGTTTGTTGCTTTCTGTGAAAGGATAGATTAAGTCCCCGTTTCGGAACAGTAGGTCCTTGCAAAAAAAAAGTGTTGGTCAG